AGCGCGGCCATCGCTGCATTCCTGGTGCTCGGTGGGGGTTCTGGCTGAGAGCAGGCACTGCCTTGGGGATGTTTGCACTGCCAGGCATCATCCTCAGGTACAAACGCAACTTCATTTGGATTTTTGGAAGGAGAGATACTTATTCATGGCCGTGAGTATATGTTTTTTCATTTAAAACCACTTCCAGCAGTTTATCAATCAGAAAAATAGATGAACCAAGAAAAATAGAAGAACTTCACAGCATTTCCATGAGAACAAGCAGCAAGGGTATTTTTGACAAATACATGAGGTGAATTCCTGCATGAGACACTCCCAGGAATGCTCTGTCCTTGCTCTTCCAGTATGTGGTAAACAGATTTCAGTTTGGTTGTCTCCTCTGATTTCAGGATAGCAAAAAGGACAAGCAGCCTTGCTCTTGGGCTGTTTACAGCCTGTGTGAAAAATAGAGCTTTAAATTCCAAATGCAAGTCTCCCTGAAACCCAAAGCAAGAGGAGCACTGTAAGTTCTGGCAAAGCACTGTGTTTGCCAGATGGATGGCTGCTTTTGGCACCAGTTTCAGCTTCTGGATACATATATAATGCAGCAAGACATATATAAACACATATATAATGCAGCAAGAACTCTGCACGGAAGAATAATCATACTCTTTCAGACATAGAGAGATGAAAAAATGCCCCAGACACAACTGCTACTACAAGCAACTGTTGCCTAAATAGACTTCCAAATGATCAAAATTTCAATACAAATTCCACAACAAGTCATATTTTCCAGCACATTTCTAGAGATTTCTCTGCTTAAAGACATCCCTCTGTCCGATTCGGACCAAACTCTTGCTGCATACTCTCGTATTGCTGTCTTCCTTGGGCAACAGAGGTGAGAGGAAAAAGAAGATGGAAAAACTCAGAACAAGTTGTATCAAATGCCCCAGCCAGTATTTGTATAATGCAGAGCTCCTTTGCCTTCCATATAGCTGCTGAATAAGGAAAATGTAATCCATGACGCAATCCATGTGATTCATGCTTTGACTTGAATGGCTTGTCTCGGTTTTGCTTCGCTTGGTAGAGATCATGGTAACGAAAGGAGAGGCTTAATGACTACTTCATCAATCGAGAAGAAACACCTCTATTGTTTTTCAGAACCCAGTAAACAGTGTAACGGGTGAAGAAAATGTGCGGAGTGTTTGGAAACCTTTGGCACAGCAGGCTGGGTGCTGCTCCCAGGGACCCGGCTGTGGTGCTGAGCCAGGAGCGGTGCTGCCAGCTGCGCGCCACTGCCATTTATGGTCACTTAGTCATGAAATCCCATCGAGTTACGGTGCCTGCGGCTTCTGAAAAAGCAAACCTTTAACTACTGTGAGCCTCAGCTGCTCTGTCTTTAGCATTACTGGCTGGGTGCTGGGTTAGCGGATGAGCTGCCCTGCAGGGCTGTGAGGATTAGCATCTGCACACTGGTTTGAATGTGCTACAATTTATTTTATGGCATTTGTTGTGCATGGCTTTTGTTTTAATGCACAATGCTGTCCTGTGTTTGGATAAGGCTATTATGTGCCAAAAAATTATAAATATTTAAAATCTCCTGATAAATTTCTAAAGCTACCCGGGTGCTATAGCACATGGCCCAGTTATCCTTTTTCCAGCCAGTGCCCTGACAATTCCCAAGTTCTGTCAGCCCCAGGGTATGAACCCTCAGTGTGCTGCAGTTTTGTCAGAAACCTTTGGAAAGGATGGAGGCATCTTGCTGGTTTTTCACCACACGTTTCTGCTGAGATGATGCATCTTCCAAATCATTTGCATGGGGTTAATTGTAGCATGGGGGAAAAAAAACATTGCTCTTCCTGTATTAGCAGCTCCAGTGAAATGTCTAAAAGATGACCTTTCTAGTTGCACAAATCCTCAGAGAGGTGCTAACTGAACCACAATTTGCCAGTGGCAGAGAAAAGCCCTTCCATCTGTGAAGGCTCAGCCATGGCTGATTCTGCTCTAAGAAAACTGTGTAGATTGGGTTGATATTAATTCTGATTCTTGTCCTCTTACAATCAAAGCAAGCTGTTGCTGAACAATGCGTCAAGCAGAGAGCACGTAGAGTGTCCCAAATGGCCGGGATCTTTCATATATGGCCCATGACTTGGAAGAATTCAAGAACAAATCATCACATGAGACTGTGACAAGCTGATTACCCTGAAGCAGACCCGACTTCATTAGTCACCCCATCATGCGCTGCCTGTCCACTGATGTCAGTGGGGGCCTGCTCCCCACACCCTTCTGCTTTCACAAGCCAGGCTTCAACAGACCTTTCCTCAGTGAAACAGCCAGAGTCAAGGCTACCATTAGTATGCTCCAAAAAAACTAATGGCAAATGCCCACTGCAGAGTCCCATGCAACAGTCCCAGGGTCCCCGACGATGTGATAAATAATCTGTGCTGAGATTAAATTTTCATTAAGGATTTATCACAGATCCCAGCAAGAGCAGCAACAGACCTGTAAAGGCCGACCAACATTTATTTACCTTTACAGTTTAAACTATGCTCCTAATTTTTTTTATTCCTGCCAACAAAGCAACTCTCTGTAAATTCAGGGAGCCTAATGCCATATTCTGGTTTAAGAGCCGTTCTTCAGTGTCTTTTTGCTAAAAACAGAGCATGCAATAATTAATTGCCCTTGCAATTCATTCCATTTGCCAAGGCTGTATTTTCAAACACAGCATATATTCTGAGCAATTCCGTGATAAAACTGTGAGTGTGTGGCAGTGGAAGCCCTCTGCTGCTTAATTAAACAGGGTCCTTTTAAACCCAGCCTTGCAATGAATGACCACAGAGGAAGAGTATTTTTAAAACAGTGGAAAAAATTCATTGCTGTGTTTTTGCAAGCGCTTAAGCAGAACCAAAAAAGCAATGACAGTGTTCTTCCTTCCTTATATCTGCATCTAGTGAACAAAGGAAGAGCGGGATGGAAAGATCCTCGTCACAGAAGACAAATCAATTGAAAAAAGTATCCACCCCAGACTGTAGTGTTGAAATCTCCCTCCCTTTCTGCCTATATACATACATACACACAAACATCTACCCGTATAAATATACACATAAGGTATTTCTGCAAGGCATACATTTGTTCATTTGTAATAATATACAGTACCAAGACATTATTACAGCAAGTACAGATTCATGGCTTAGCTTGTTTTTACTTCTCTCCCTCCTGATGAAACTTGAAACATAGGTTCACTTGTGCTAAAGTGTCTTCCAACTTCATTTCAAAGGAAATGCAGCTTTTCAGGCCCCAAGAAGAGTTTCATCACAGAGCAGTACAGACCGACTCTCTCATCAGTGGATGAGGACAAGGCATTGATGCCCAGCGCAGCAGTTGCTGCCACCACTGGATATCACACCTGGGGCTTGGCAGGTCCCAGACAGGACACCTCTCCTGATCTCAGACAGCCAAGCAGGTGATGGAGTCCACACAGGGACTGCCTCTCTCCACTGCCTGTCAACCAGAACCATTGATCAGACCATAGCTGTGAGGGTCATCTGTGACTGGGAGGGAGGGAAACAAGATCTGTTCCTCAGAACAGAAATTATTTTGCTTTTTTTCATTCTCTTCCCATAAAGCAGTCTTTGTTTCCCAATAATCATAAAAGCAACCAGGATGCAAAAGGCTGAATTCTGTTCAAAAGCCCTGTGATGTGCAGGGAAGAACAGCTGTGACACATGGGCTGCTGCATCCAGACCACCAGTATCCCACCGCCCCCACGCTGTCCCAAGCAGCAACAGTCCCATCTGTGCCACTGCCCTTCTCCCAGGGCTGGCAGCATGAGCTGGGCTTGCATGTCTGTGCCAGAACTTTGCTGAGCACTTCACATCTTGTTTTGTGCCTTAGTACTTCTGATGGGATGGATGGATGGATGGATGGATGGATGGATGGATGGATGGATGGATGGATGGAGTAGTGCAAAACCACTGAAAGAAACCACTGTCCCTGTGATATATTGTGCAACAACATGTTGTGCACATGTGCACAATGTACATTGGGATGAAAATTTTCTTTGCTGAATCTATGGAAAAAATTACCTTTATTGAAAATTTTAACTAAATACTTAAGTTAAAAATCAAGGTCCTGATACTAATTCTGCCTTTTTCCCGTTTAATGTCTACTCACTTCTTTTCTTATAGAAAAAAAATGTCTGAAGCTTCCAATGTCAGTGTGGCATGGGCACAAAATTATATTAAAGAGAGTGTGCATTATTAGGTGTGGGAGTGGAAAGGAACGGAAATTAAAATGTTATAAGCAATCAGTTAATCCGGATGTGGAATGGTTGCTAAGGAGTCCCAGCCCAGGCCAAAGTCAATAAGCAATTAGCACCTATTAAAGATGAAGTACAGGATGATGGGAGAAAAGCCCTTGAGAAAAGGCTCGGCTCCATGTTTCCAGGCTGCTTTTCCCTGGGCTGGACCAGCCTGTGCTGACAGCAGAGAGCTGCTTGTGGAGGCACAGCCTGCCCTGGCTGCGGCATTTCTATGCCCTGTCACTGGTTTTGCTCTGTAAAAACAATCCCTTGGTTAAAGTAAGTTTTTATTTGAATCCTTCCTGCTGCTTGGCTCAGTAATTTGAGGAAAGGGCAGTGGCTGCTATGCCATGAGATACATGTCAATATTTCAGTGTAGTAAATCTGATCTCCAATATCTGTGATAATTTTAAAACAGGAGGCAATGCTGGTTGGGGAACAATGGAAGTTTAGGCATAAATCTCACTTTACCTCACCTTCATATTTTCTTCTTTCTTATTTTATTGTCAACAAATGAAACTAATAAAACTTACTCTAGGGGAAGGATCTGTTAGATCACTGGAGAGAAACCACAGTGTCACACTTTAAGAGATGCATTAGAATAAAACCCTCAAAAGAAAATAATTGGAAATCTATATTCCAATTTTAGCTGAGAATGGCTATAGTAATATGATTAAATTAGACTTTATTGATTGTGTCTTAATGGATTTGTTTTCTCTGACAGAATCCTACACCTTTCAGTGTGACAGCCTTGATGTAAATAGATACACACGCACTTCGCTTGAATTGGTGGAGCAGCTCCTGGTAGCAAAGCCAAGACTGTAAGTGTGTGCAGGATCGGACCCCAAGGGGAGGGTGAGTGGGTGGGCACAGGCTTCCCTGGGGCAGGGACACGGAGGGACACCTCACACAGCTTTCACTGACCCACTAAGTGTCATGAGATGTCTCGGCAGCCTGCACAAACCCAGCATGTAGCAACGGCAGCTGGAGTAGTTCTGTTTACTCTGCTGTCGTCAAATGAGTCAGCGGCAGTCACAATCTTGTAGGTCAGCAGGGAGTGGCGCGCCAGGAAATCAGTCACAAAAGTGGGGGAGAACCCCCAAGAATTCAAGCCTTAAGTGACTGCTTTTAGAAGTTTTTATTTTCTTCAGATGGCCCATAGAATCGTGTGTGTCGGCACAGAGGTTGCTGTCCTTTTGCAGCACCGCATCTCGTGCGAGCACCCTCGGCCTCTCCCGGCCCGGACTGTGCAGAATGGAATCCCCCCAGCCCAGAGCCCGGGCTCTGCCGACCCCGGCGCTGGGTCACCCACCCACGGCTGCCTCTACCCCGGCCGTCACCTGGCCGGCAGCCTGGCCCGCACTGCCCGAGAGAGGCTGTGGTGGGTCGGGGGCTGCGCTCCTGCTCCCACTGCGGGGTTTGGTTGTGTCTGTGGGGCGGGGGGGCTGCACCCCGGCCGAGCAGGAGCGCCAGGCCAGCTGCGCTCCCGCCCGTGCCCCGGTGCCAGGGGGTCGCGCTCCCGCCCGTGCCGCGGTGCCGGGCGAGCAACGGTGCCCCGGGGCCGCACCCAGGCCCCGCCCGGTGCCTCGGCCAGGTGAGGGGCGGCCCAGCGGGGGCCCCGTTCCGCCAGGGGCTCTTCCAACCCAGCCCAGCCCAGCCCACAGCCCAGCCCTGCCCGGTACAGCGGGGCGCGGGAGGCTGATGCGGCCGAGGGCGTGCCGCTCCCGGCGGATAAAGCCGGGCGGCGGCGCGGGGCCGTGCAGAGCCGGGGAGCGGCAGCGCAGCGCGGAGCGGGCGGGCCGGGGCAGAGGGGGCGGCGGCAGCAGCAGCAGGAGGAGCGGGTGCAGCATCCAGCAGCGGGGCGGCCGCGGAGCGCCGCACTCCCTCACTCCTTCACTCCCTTTCCCTCCCTCCCCGCAGGCGGGCGGGCGCGGCCGGGCGGGGCGCGGGCGGAGCGCGGCGGGCCGAGGAGGCGGAGCGGGACCGGCCATGAGCACGCAGGCGCGGGGCCAGGGCGGGCGCAGAGCGGCCGATCCCGACGGCGAGATGCCGGCCACCGAGAAGGACCTGGCGGAGGACGCGCCGTGGAAGCGGATCCAGCAGAACACCTTCACCCGCTGGTGCAACGAGCACCTGCGGTGTGTCAACAAGCGCATCGGGAACCTGCAGCATGACCTGAGCGATGGGTTACGGCTGATCGCGCTGCTGGAGGTGCTAAGCCAGAAGCGCATGTACCGCAAGTACCACCAGCGGCCCACCTTCCGCCAGATGCAGCTGGAGAACGTCTCGGTGGCCCTCGAGTTCCTGGAGCGGGAGAGCATCAAGCTGGTCTCCATCGGTGAGTGCGTCTCGGGCGGACGGCTTTTGTTGTTTTCTCATTTTATTGTGCTTTTTACTGCGCCGGACCTTTGCCTGTCGGAGCCGTGACGGGGTCAGGGCGGTGGGGGCTGCGGGCTCGGAAGCTGAAGGGTTGTTGCAGCTTCTGTCCTTAAAGAGCTGTGTTTGCCGTGGGGCTGCCCCACAGCCCGGCTGTCGGGGCTGGCAGTGCTGTGTGTGCCGTGGGGCTGCACAGCCCGGCTGCCGGAGCTGGCAGTGCGCTCCTACCGGAGCTGGCAGTGGGCTCCTGTGCTCCTTCAGCGTCTGTCTTGGTCACTCCTTCATAGGTGAGGCTTTGCTTTTTGCTCTTTCCTGAAGAAACCCAGTGCTAGAGCACGTTCTCTCCCTGTGCAGCCAGTTTCCCCAGGCACTGACCTCTCCAGCAGCCCGGCAGGAGATGGGACTGGGGCGATGCCTGCCTTAGCCAGGCGTACCTGGGCTCTGGCGGAGCGCTGGAGACAGACTCTCACAGCTGTGCGGAGACAGCTGCTGCCGTAGGTAGTACAGGAGGTTGAGAAGAGTTTTCTTGCTCACCACAGCCCAGTAGATGATGCCAGTGTTCAGATTAGCATCGATGCTTGCCTAAGCACAGTTGCAGCTTTTGAGCAGGATTGCACTTTCTCCTCAATCTTTCTGCTGCAGTAGGTTACGGTAGGAAATGTACGAGGAACCCTACTGACCCCAGGCAAAGGGTGCTCTGAGGTGCCGCCACCCTGGCTGGCATGAGATTTGCCTGTCCGTGCCATACTGGAGCGTGTAATCGGTAGATAACTGGTGGCTTGCACAGGAAACGAAAGCTGCTGGCATGCACGTCGGATTTCAGATGATCCCTCAGGAATGCATGCGGTGACCGTTTTGGGAATAGCTCAGGTGTGGCCACAACGTAGTCTGTAAAGCAGTAATTTGAATGCCTGAGAGATCTCTGGGAAGGAATTCGACTGCCTTCTCTAGCTCTTTGCCAGATAACTCTAACTACTGCCTCCTGATGACTCTGGCCTCGATGAATTGCACAGCTGAATTTGGGTGAGTTGCAGCTCTGCTCAGTTGTCTAAAACTCTTGGCCAAGGTGAAAGCTGTTTCCCTTCAAAGGATTCAGCAACAATAGCAAGGAAATAAAAACTTTTGCAGTTTGGGGGAAACCCATGGCTAGGTGGAGTAGCTGGGTACTCTACTAATGTGTCAAAGCAGCTTTGTACAAGTAGAAGTGAGTACTGTTGTGTCCTGAGTGGCTGATTATCCTCCCAGGGCAGAACAGTGAACGTACTTGTAGCTGGGAATGGAGCTAGTGCTAATTATTTACTTAGAGATGAATTCCCTTCTCACACGGTGGGGTTCGAGTTGCAGCTGCTGACTCCTGGGCTGAGCTTTTGCTAATATTGGAGCTCACCTTTCTGTGGCAGCTGCCGGACTAGCTCCTTACAGCCACGACACAAACACCAGGCCAGCGCTCCTCTCTTGTTGTATTGTTTACTCCAGAAGAATGTTGCTGCTGCATCTGCCTTCCTATTTGTCTGTGGGACTTCCCGATGGCTGTGGGTTTGGGAGATCAAGGTTAGTCCAGCCAGGTCTGGCTTCCAGTGACTTCCTTTCTAGAAACGCTGCTGCAGCGGCACAGCTCCCTTACAGGATTCGACTGTGCTGCAGGTGGCTGTGATCATTTAAGACACATCTACTTGTTTTGCAGCTTACTTGCATTGTGTTGGCTATTAAAAAAAAACAAAACCAAACAAACCCTGAGAAAACTTGAAGCTTTGGCAAAATGGAATGACTATGACTGGTAGTGCCTTTGTCATGTCCCAGCCTCTGCATGAAGGGATATACAGCCCCATCCGTGCTGTGCCACCTGAGCTGGAGCCAGGAGGTAGCACAGGAGCTCTACTGTGCAGTCCTGGATAAACTGAGCCAGTCCTGAAAAAACATCCTGAATGTCCTTTCCAAAAAAGATGTTCCAAGTGAGCCTTACAGTGCACCACTGGGTTGAAGGGCTGAAGCCCTCAGCACTTCTCCTGCAGGCGCAGCATCTACTGGGATCACTACTCACCCCTGCTGTGTTTCTCCCTGCAAGTTCTGAAGAACTTGGAGCTTTCTTTTTGTTCCTACTGTTTAGTCTCTTTTGTGTTGCTGAACAAACCCAGGACCATCGCAGATCCTGGAGCTAAAGTGAAAAAAAGAAAGCAGTAAAGGCTTTAGGTGCAGAACTTTTATGACCACGTTGGTCTTTAGAGCCTGGGGTGTTTAGGGCCAGCTCTGAGCCAAATCAACTGGGAAAACCTGACAGCTGCGCCTGCTGGATTTCTGGCATTAATAATGCCATCAGACCTCTGCTAAGTGGATGCAGAGCCTGTTCCAGTTATTATTTAACTTCCAGGAACATTTTGGAAGCCATGTATTATGGCTCAGCTACTGGTGCTATACTACAACCACACTAAACCTTTTCAGTAGCAAGCTTTTGGCATTTAATGTTTGTCCATTTAAAGTAAGCCTGCTTATACACAGAGAACTTATTTTAATTCACAGTGTTTGACCACAACCCTTTCTGGATGCATGTTAGCAGCCAAACCTCTCCTGCTTCTGCTTACCCTTGTTTAATATCTGCTCAGAGTCTTTTGGTAGTTTCAGGACGCTTTTCTTCTAGGTGTGAAGTTCCTTCAGTGCAAGTTTGACTGCATGTATGATGTGCTGTAAAAAATGCCATGGAGCACATGGGTGCTTTGTGCCATCCAGCAAGGATGGGACTGAACGCTCTGAAAAAATTGCTGTGGGGGCAGGTGACTTCATGGAATCTTGTGCTCAACATGAGGTGGCTGCTGTGCTGCTCAAGTGTTAACAAGTGTTAAGTCTAGCTTTTTTCCTTGTCTGCTAGACTGAGATAATTGCAGATTCCTGGGTGCTGAGTGGCATGTGGCATGACAGGCACTGAGAGTAGGATGCCAGGAATGCAGAGCACAAGGGCTTTGCTCTTGGCTGAAGGGGCTGATCACTCTACAGATTGCTTAGCAGAGAAGGGAGGGGGGTGAAGCTTATTTGGCACTGAGCTTGTCCCTAGAAATCCTGATAACTGGCAGTAGGAGTCAACTGATTTATCTTAGAAATAGTGGAGTTGGGTGTCTGAAGCCTGGCAAGAGGTTTTGGGCTGTGACCTGCCAAGTTGCCCCCAAGCTTGCAGGCAGCACGTCCTATGTGTGCACTCTGATGCTACTCAGTGCCTGTTGACAGTGTTCTCATGGCTACTGCTTGCCCAGCAGCCTCGTGTCACTGGCAGAGGTGGGATGGCTGCCAAGCTGCCTTGTTGGGTAAAACTGCAGTCTTGGGCTGCCAGAGTCAGACTGATCAAACTGAAAAATGTGGTTTCTCTGCCAGATTGCACTTTCACCAGGTAAGCGAGCTGATCTGGCTTGCCTTGCAACAGCGGGATGTTAAGTGGTGAAGCAAGTAAGTGGATGGGCAGTGGCAGGTCTGCTGCCTTGGCACTAGGATCTGGTGCTGGCCTGGGCTATAGTTGTGTGGTTTGTTTTCAGGTTTGTCTTTGTGGTGGTCCTGAGTCCCATGACAGTGCCTACAGGGAGTTGAGTTATGCCAGGAAGGCG